GGCGGGGCTTTCCTGGGGATCCCAAGGAGCTATTTGGTCCACTACAGGCTGAACCTCTCTAGTCCGGTACCCTCGGCTGGGTGTAGAACCAGAGAATCTGCCAGATCACGGTAGGTCGGTATTGTCTAGCAGCATGGCCAACACTTCCACTGCTTGCTGGGCTCAGAGAAGACTTTGAGGGGTAAGTTAGGGCTAAACAGCACAGAACCCTGAGCCAGGACTGGGGGCTATAACCAGACCTGATGGGACAGCAGCAAATTTGGCCGCACGCATGAGAAGTGGCCATGCAGCTAACTCAAATCATGCCAGACCAGGGATATTTCTGGACCAGAGATTTCCAGATCAGAGAGGTTCAACTTGTCGTGCGGATTCTCCCAGTGTTCCCCAGCTGCTAAACGCCATCAAAGGTCAGCCAACATCCACCGAAACGCTCGCCTAGTCCTGCTATTGTTCAATACCACTGCAGCACTAAGACACCAAAACCCGGTCTCTGTTGGCTTATGGGTGGCCACCCCGTCCCTCTGTACAAGGTTCCAGCCCCAGAGAGAGTATTTCAAGCCACTGAGGGCTGCGTGATGGTGACTCGAAGGGGTGGGGAGGGCAAGGCATTGTACACAGGAGGGGAAGCAGCCATGCCATTCTGTGCGAAGATGTGCCCAGGCTACTGACACGCAAGAGCGGCTGCAAGGAATTCCAATGGCTAAATGGGTCACCCCAGCTTCAGAAACTCATTATCTCGGCATTATTAATTAATACGCAAACCCTGGTGACAACTGTCCTCTCAGCCAGTCCCACCCTGCCTTTCTAACAAGGCTTCAGAGGGGCCGAGCCTCTGCTAGAGGGGATGTTACATGGGACTCGTGAGTAAGTCTAATTGCCACGATGAGCAGGCTCAGTACATACCTTCCACGTCCGCCTCTCCCACCCAGGAAGCTGGCACCCAAGGGACACCCCTTAGAAGAACACTGGTATCTGTGTGTTGCAAGTGCCACTGTCCTCACATTGCCTAGGCAATAAAACAGTGACACATAATGGGACTGTACGTATGGGGAGTCATTCTCTGCCACTCCCTCATGCGGTGAAGGCCCACACCCCACTCACATGCCAATGGCTGCTCCCCACAGTACTGGGAAACTTAAAATGTCTCTGTGGCATCAGGCAAACGCACGTTCCCCAACGTCTCTCTACGGGCCAGGGTCTGCCAAGAGGGGGCCCCGTGCCACATAGCCAGCCACGCCGAAGGCGCCATCTTGGAGTGTGCCTGACAGCCACAGCTTCCACACGGAGGGAGAGCTGGGCCGAAACGGATGTAGGCTGAGCCCCGACTGACGCTGGAGGTTAAGACCAGGACCTTGAAGCAAACCAAAATGTGGGAATCAGTCATGGAGCGCGGGGATGCGGTGTTCTCATGGGATCACTTCATCTAGCCTTAGACGTTTCGTTGCCATGGAGACGGTCTGACGGCCACTTGGACCCGTTAGAACTTCTTTGCAGCCCTCACTTTCCCTCCCCGGGCGGGCAGGCAGTATTCCTGGAGGGAGCTTTGATCCCCCTCATCCAACAGGAAGCGTTACTGTGCTACACAACACATGCTGGAGAGCTCATGATACACAAGTCTACCCCATGAAGCCATCACACTTGGCCAAACCGTTTTCTATTAACGACTCAGGAAACGGGAAGATCCACGGCATACCGTAAATGGGACACAAACAGGGGACAAGCTACCAAGCCAACGAGCTATCTCAGGGTGGCCAGCTGCCGAGATCCAACCAGAGGTGGCTGCATTTCAGCAATGCTAGTTACAGCTATCCTGGGAAGGGAGAAGCTATACGAATATAAAGTCACCATCAGCTTCCTTTTTAAAGCATCCCCACTGTATCTGGATATTTTTCAGGGCTAAGTTATCGGCGCAAAAAGCTCAGGTCCCTGTCAAAATTCAACAGCAACGAAACTGAAAGAGGAAGAAGCCCCGAAAAACCACAGGGCTGAAGTAACAGCCATGCCCACCGCCAGGCAGTGGGTTTCTTCCTATTTGCCTCATGCATCCGCAATGCAAACTCTTTTGGCCAACGGAGCAGAAAATACACAAGACTGCAGAGACTAGTGTCTGGGGAAAATGTTTCCCTGTCTTGTGTATTCCCTCCCCTTGCCGCACCCACAAAATCACCTGCCATTGCCCCTCCCATTCACCTGAACGGGAGTCTTGCACCTTCTCCCCAGACTCCGAGAATGAGGAAACTGAGGCTCTTGTGTTCACAATGACATTTATTTACTTCTGATGCTTAGCAAGTGACTGAGGAATTCTGCCCTCACTTGCTCAAGACACCTTCTTTTAAAAACAGAACCTTTCTTCAGGGCAGCCCAGAAATCCTGGCAAAACCACCGTCCGTAGGAAAAGGCGTTTGCAACGTGACTTGGAAGCTGGAGTGATGCTTCCAGGAATATAAATCCACCACCACCGAGAGCATCCCACTCTCCAGGGGAAGAAAAGTAGCCAGCAGGTCCCCTGCCCAACACAACTGCTCTGCAAAACACCGCTCTCCAGACGCATTTGACTCTGTTCAGAGGGGCAAGGCAGCTTCCCCCTTGCTGAGTAAGTGTCACCGGGCATGTGCCAAGTTTCACATGTCGCCTCTGCTAACAGCCAAGCTGCTCTCGGCCTCAGAACCGTGGCAGCAGCTGCGCGGAGACCATCCGGTCCACCCGGATGAATCAGCGCTTGCGGAGAGTGGGATTACGTTGGCGGAAGGTGCCAGCTGCCTCCACCCCGCTCTGTAATTACTCCACATGTGTAGGCAGCTGATTGTAGAGGCAGCATCGGCGAGGGGGAGGCTGACAGCTCCTCCACCATCTCATTAAGCACAATCATTCCGAGGGCGAGCGCCGGTGCTGGAAAATAATTACAAGGGCCTGCCGAAGCAGAAGGCCTGGGGAAAGCTTCGGCGCAGGAGCAAAGGGCCAAGACTTTTTCACTACGTTAAAAAAAAAGTTGCCAAAAGCCAGCTGCTTGCTCCAGTGTTCGCGGCGCCACCCGGCGCTCCAGCCGCACGGCAGGGCGGTGAAGTGGTTCCCACCAATTCCCAGGGTGCCAAGCGGCATCTACTCCCACCCAGCCGAGCACAACGCGGGTGCCCCCCTTCGGGGCTCTGCAATTCAGTAACTTCATGGAAGCAACAGAGAGATTCGTCCTCTGTTAACTCAGGTCTGGGGCCTGCCTCCCAAATTGAGGCAGAGTTCCCATAAGGTGAGCACTTACAGGGCGGCCACCCAGGAGCGAATCAGGTGCCGCCCAGTTGATTGGCAGAGCCACCCACAGCTGATCACAGCATACGTTTCTCTTGATGGTACACATCCGCACCGGCCTTGGTGCGTATAACAAAATGTATTCTGCACCTATAGATGGAAAAACTGCTGCTGCGGAAAGCCTGCCAGCACAGCAGTTTGGGATTCCAAGCTGAGTAACACTTGGCCCAGAGAACCATTTTAAATGGAAGTATTCGACCCGAGGGACTCCAGAGCTTCCATTTGCCTTAGGAAGGTGCCATCCCGGTGCCACCAGCAAAGGCAAACGGACGACTGGCGAGAACAACCAAACGAGGGCGCCGTCTGAAAGTAAGACGGGAAGAGGCACGCTGTGTCGCTCGAAAGCCGGTCTTGATTCTCTCGCCAAGAGACATTGGTCCATGCCAAGGTATTCCCTCCCCCACCCCCATCTCTTGAAAACGAAGATTGTTGTCCACGCACTCACGAATAGGAGCAGCCCCGACGAGCTGCGGCTGTGCTGCCTTCTGTACCCAATCGAGAGGTGAACGTTTAACTGGTTATCCCTAGACACTGCAACTAGGGATGCAAGATCCTGTTTAATTGGTTAACAGGTTAACCGCTTAAAGGGGATGGTAGGCGGGAAGGGAGATGATCCAGCTCCTACCTGGGGCAGGAAGGTGGGGGGGGCACTCCATGGAGCCTGGAGCACCCCCCCACCTGCCTTCCCCTTTAAGTGGTTAACCTGTTAAATACTCTGTTAACCAATTAAACAGGATCTTACATCCTTACCACAAACTCAGCCCTTCATCTCCAGGGACATGCTGAATTATACAAAACAAGAAACATTTAACCAAAAAAGTTGACAGTACAGTTAAAATATAAACATCCCAAATCCTATCAAATATGCAGCAGGAAAACGACATCTCTTCCAACAAACCACTCCAGGGCTCCCCTCCTGGCCCCCAGTCGACGCCTGCACTAAGCTGTCACTGTTTGAAACCGCTCCCCTCGACATTTATGGAAGTCGATGGGAGAAGACCCTGAATCTCGTTTCTTGGATAATTTCTTCTGACGGTTGTTCCTCGGGATAAGCAAACGTCTAGTTTGTCAGGGTCCCTGTTAGAGTTTAAAACACTTGTCGTTTCACAGTTAACTCACGCTTTTCAATGTGGGTTCTGCTCACACTGCAAGCCAGGATAGCTTCATTTTCACCAAGTATCTGGATCTGCACCATACAGCAGACTCAAAGTTATGAGTTGTTTTGTCATTAGGCCTGCCACCTTTCCAGCTGCAGACTGAGGAACGCAGCACTGCAGGGGTGCGTGTTCAGAAGGTGCCCTTTGCAAGCAAAAAAGGTAAAACCTTGGGTTTGCCGATGAAGGTGATCCCACTCAGAGACAAGGGTAGAGAAGCAAAGAGCATAAACTTTACTCAGCTGGTTTCAGACAAGACCCTCTTGGCCAATGTAAACACAAAGCTTAAAAAAGCAAGTTCAGTTTGCCAACGTCAAGGTAAATCGCCCCAGCGGATCACATGGGCATGACAAATAAGCCACGCAGCAGGTTCACAACAGGACTGTGCATGGACTCCCAAGAAATCACTCCGTACCCACATTGCAAACATGCTATTAACACAGCTCTTCGAAGACAAACACCTTTACGACTGCCGAGACACCAACAGAAACTGCTTGGTAGCAACTGACCCTGGAGACAGACCCATACAAATCACAACATTCTGAAGACTGGTAAGTCCAGTTTACTTATTCAGCAGCTATCATCAACATGTTTGCTCAGCTTAAGCACCTGCAGAATTCTTAGACACCGAGCCTTTCCGATTAGCACAACACTCGGTCACACGAGCAAGCAAGCACTCAGACTGCAAGGGAAAGTTAACATCCACGCATGCAGAATAGCCACCGTCAAACAAGCAGCAGCCTAGCAACACAGATTCTGTTAGGTCAGACAATTTTCCAGGAGGGAATGCACCCCCCATGGACACCTGCTGTCAAATTAAACTTTCACAGACACGAGAAACCTCGTTATCAGATGGGCCACAACAACACAGAGCACAGAACAGGATTTTAGTTCAGCAGCTCGCTGCTAAAATGGGCCTAGGATTTCCCACCCTGATTTTTCCTTGCTTTTCGCTTCCACATAGTTCAATGCTCCAGCCATGGATAAAACAGACAATAATGGAACCGCTCCAGCGTAACACACGACCACCAGCAATAGCATCTTAGGCTACAGGGATTGTAAGAGCTGATCACAGCTCAGCAAGAGCAGAGACACTTCACAGACCCTAATCCACACAGTGAGAGAGCAGGCTGGTTGTGAAACTCCAGAAAGGAAAAAGTCAAGAGATTCACCAACCTCCGATATAGCGAAATTACAGACACAGAGCGAATAACATGCTTTAAAAGAACCAGCTGCCTTGCTGGTAGATTTCTCTTCCGTTAACAGGTATATTCTTTACTCCCATCTGGCTCTAGCATCATCAAGAGGAGACGCATGAATAAATGAATCTGTCTGGTCCGCACAGGATTCCTGGCTTGTGAACAGTCATTAAAAACAAAAGAGTTCTCCAGTCCACTGATGCCAAGCCCTGCACCCCCAGGGCCACAGTGGTTCTCGGATGCAGCTGTGAATAGTGCAAGGGTTTCACAGCACAGTCGGACGCACCTATAATTGTTTAAGACAATTCATGCTGGTGCTCTGCAGAGGGCTGGGAGATTTTACTCCGATTCCTGGCTTGTGAACAGTCATTAAAAACAAAAGAGTTCTCCAGTCCACTGATGCCAAGCCCTGCACCCCCAGGGCCACAGTGGTTCTCGGATGCAGCTGTGAATAGTGCAAGGGTTTCACAGCACAGTCGGACGCACCTATAATTGTTTAAGACAATTCATGCTGGTGCTCTGCAGAGGGCTGGGAGATTTTACTCCGGCGACCATTACTAACCCAGTGCGCTTAGGAATCATGTTCACCCCCCACCCAGCGGACTCTTCCCATGAACTAGGGCTGGGAGCAAGCACCGAGGACCAGGGTTTCAGAGCAGCAGGAAAATCAGGAATTGACTCCAAGATGCCCTGGAAGAGGCGAGGCGAGGCGAGGCGCTGGGAAACCTCCCACACAACTCCAGAGCCGCTCGGGCGCTTACATAAGATGGCATCGGTCCCCCCCTGCCCTCAGCGCAAGC